TGATTGATTTGTGGTTTTCCAATGGAATCGTATGTTTGCTATCAGTAATTTGTGATCAGAACCACATTCCGCCCCCCTTTTAACTCTGACATCTGTAACTCTGATCGATATTTTGATTTTCATTATGAAGTAGTCAATTATAGCTTGGAGGTTTCTTGTTTCTTGGTCCAGGTGAACTTGTGGATATCCTTGTGGTGGTAGAATCCGTTCATAATTTTCAGTATGTTTATTTCACATATTTCTATTATTTTTTCTCCATCTACATTTGTCACTTCTTCTCCATATGTTCCTACTGTTTGACTTTTTTGTTGTTTTTCCTGTTCTAAAAAACCGTTCAGATCTCCTGTCAGAATAGGTTTTTGGTCTTGTTTGACCTTTTCTATTTGATCCTGTAGGGCTTCCATGAACTGTTCTTTTTCTGTTTGAGGTCTATCATCTGTTTGTCCATAAACTCCTAAGACTATTATCCTTCTTCCCCATAGAGGGAACGTTTTACTACCTCAAAAATAATAGTACCAGTGTTTTACTTTTTAGCTTATTAATTTCACTTATACAAATTTAATTAAAATACACTGTAATAAACCAAGATCTGTAAATATGTTGCGACAGGCTGCAACTTAGCCATCAAAAGCACCCAGTTTGCTAGAAAAAAGATCTACAAGGCAACATGGAGATCAAACGAGTGGAAGAACAAATAATCAAATAGATCACATATTAATTGATGGGAGACATTCTAGCAGCTTTCCATTAATTCAAAATATACAATAAAAATTTAAAATGATCCAAATCTGCTTGGTATTAAAAGTAATTATTGAAAAGTAATTATTTTAGTTCAAATTTAAATATCTGTAGTTGACTTTTGTTCATATTATTGGATAGCTTATTATGCAAGATCAGGCTATTTGAGTATAGGCTTCTTTGCGCACCGGAAATTCGCATTCTTCCCATATGAAAAGTACCCCATTGTCTAGAATGATATGATAGTTATGTACACCTTCAATTCTTCAGTCAGTGTTTGTAGGTACTTGACAAAGCTTACATTTATGAATTAATACACAAACTTGCATAATCTACATTGATTCAATAAATATTGGCCATTCTTCTTGGTCAGTGAAGATCTTCTGTTCGATGAAGGCATGGCAGTTGAAGAATACATTTATTAGCCCTTTTACAATGAAGGAGACCAAGTAAGTTGTCTATTTATATACAATTCAAGATAATTGACCATCTTCTATTTATTAAATTTGAATTTTCCAACTGCATTCTCTATATGAGCATCTACATTAGAAGTTATCACTGCAGTTATTCTTATTAAGTTACAGTTTGTGATACTTAAGCCACGCATATATTTCTGGGTTAACTTTAATATTGGTGCAATGAACATAACCTTGTTGATATGTTTGATGTTAAATGTAAGCTTAATATACGTCAGTGTTGCCATATACTCAATTATTTCCCACTCTCACATATAAAATTATTGGCAAGATTTATATTATATGAAATGAAAATTTAAAATTGAAAAATACATATATAATTAAACAAAAACGTGAAAAATATATATATATATATATAATTAAAAGCATTAAAGTTATACCTATAAATATTATAAAATAAAATTATATCTTGCATTTATACATTTAAAAATACTTATATAATAAAAACCATAAAAATTATGCTCGAGGTAAAAATTAATAGTTTAGAAACTTTAAAAACTACAGAATAAAGTAAAGTTAAATGAAAAAAAAATTAGGTTAAACAAAAGAATACAGTAAATATTAGCTATATTTAAAGTAAAAAATACTATTTTATGAATGCTTTTTAATATGAATTCAAAAATTGTGGCTTCTCATAACAAAACATTATATAAAAATTAATGAGAAAATCCCATTAATTTTTATATTTTACAGAAGTAAAACACTTCACATTTACCTAAGTATATACCTAAATACAAATGTGAAGCATTTTACTTCTGTATAAGTTTTTTAAAACATATATAATTTCGTCAAAGTATCTTTCTATTTTAAACACTCCTATACTTTATACAAAAAAAAGTGGCAATACTGTGTCGCACAAACATATAGTACGATGCCAGGTTATGTTCATTGCACCAATATTAAAGTTAGCCTATTTCTGTAGTCCTTTTCTATATCAATTTCTGATTTCTGGGATCTTTATTGGCATACATAAGACCAGCGTCATCAGCATACAGATAGGCATTTACTGCAGAAGTATGAATGAATTCATATAGATCCTTGAGGAACACCATATGCAATATTTTCTGTTGTACTTGACCATTGTTACATAGCACTTTTTGTATTCTGTGACTCAAATATTCCCTCAACCAAACTAAAGACATTCCAGTTATTCCATATTGTTCAATTACTAAATTAAGTATGTCCTGGTAAACTGCATCGAAAGCTTTTTGCAAATCCAATGATGCAAATACACAACTTAACCCTTTATTTAATTTGTTGCACATGCCTGTAATTAGTTCAGTAGGACTGTGCTTGAATAATGTCTAAAACCATATTGATTGTTAAACCAGTAGCTGGATGAATCAAAGAATTGTACAATTTGGTTATTTACATGAGTTTCCAAGATCTTTCACATTGCTATTAGAACAGATATTGGCAGATAATGTTGTTTTGAGTCTCCTCCTTTATACAATGGTACCACTATCGCCATTTTCATTGAGTTTGGGATCAATCCAGTAATAAGAGAGAGGCTAACTAATTTAGTTATAATCGGAAGCAGCTACTCTACAAACTCTCTAATAATATCTACACTAAAGCATTCTGGCATTTTCTGCCTGGAGATTTTCATTTTCTTATGACCTCTCTAATATGGTTTTCCGAGACTTGTTTTCCATTCAAATATGCATTTTCTTCAGTCTATATTTACTCGATTTGGCTGTAAGCTCTATTGAATGTAGAATACTGATTTTGTAACTCATGAATTGTTACTATTTTTTTATTTTATTAATATGTATTTCATTAATAAAATTTATAATCCTGTCATTGGACCAATTATGAATCATTTTATTTCGCCAAAATATTCCAAAACAACAAATAATCTCCAAAAGTACATAAACACCGCCAAACGACTGTCCGGCAACGATTGTAAAGAAATACAGATGATACCAAAAATGTGGCATTAATGGCTATATGGTCGAGTCATTATAAAAACATTCCCCTATTGTTAGCTACTGTGTTGCAGTGAAAATATTCCTCGTTTAGAGGCACCTTATGATAAACAAAAAATAATATTCATAAAAAAATGGAGGCAAAAGCTTACTTACCTTATAAAAACCTTCCTGTTATCTACTTAAATTATTCATCGATTAAAAGAAATAAAATATATTTAAATACTGTTAATATTGATTCTACTTTTAAAAATTACAATTTATATGTTCAATCAATTTTACACTTTATGCCTTTGATAAAATGCATAAAATGTCAATCAAACAGCGATTGCGTTAAAAACATATAACCCCCAAATCAATTACACCGCATCAAGTCTTTTTCTTTATGCAACCTGGCTGTATCGCTGTATATAGGAAGGAAAAGGCCACACGAAAATAAATAAAGACAAATCCTTTTCTTCAAATCGGTTGAAAATTAAGACAATTTGTAGTTTAAGATTTAAGTATGGGATACAGAACAACTGTTTCTTAATCTATGGTTTAAATATATTTATTTACCAACCATATTGTTGAAATGCATATGTATCTAACTTCAGAATAATCACAGTTGTTCCTAGGACCCATGGACGTATAAATTAGGACCACAGAATACTCCACCCAACAAGAAGCGAACGAAAGAGGTACTTGTGATGAAGACAGAAATTTCGGAGTGACAATGACAGTTAAACTACTTAGTACACTAAAAAAAAGTAGCAGGAAGTCGTTCAAAACTGTGGTTAAATTATAGTTACACTGAGAAACAAAGTAATCATTAAAATGATTAAAACTAATGTTTTGTATAAATCGTATGTTTTTCTAAAAAGAGTATTTAACTAAAATATAAATGTTCAGATAACTTTTGTAACGTGTTTGAATTTAAAATTTAATTTGTTTACCTGCTACGATCTCTCGGTATTGAAGAGAGACTTACCTATTTCCTCACCAGATTTAGATAGGCACCCACGAACAATACAATAAAATCCCCTTTTCGTGCAGACATCACAATGAATTTATTACAAAAATATGTATAACAGTATTATCACAGAATAATAAACAATTAGATTGCCCATTCTCAGATGCAGCCTTTGAAGTTTGTCAGCACGCGAACGCCATGTTTCAGACGAAAACAGACTCGAATTGAGAAATTTGTGACAAGCTACGATAAAACTGTAATTTAAATTTTTAAAGATTAATAATCTAGTACATTTGAATAATTCAATCTATTCTGCAACTAAAAGTACGAATAAAATAGTGCATATTATGTCTGTAGTTGCCGTAAATAAATTAAACCGGGTTAATTTGTCTATGCACACCAGATAAAATGTAACTGAACACCACTGGTTCCGTTTAAAACATGGCGGATTCCATCTGCGCGTAATATTTTTTCAAGCAGAGTGGGCATTCTGTTTTTACTATTAAACAACACTTCACAATACGTAAACAAATAAAAAACTTCAGTTTTTATAGGTTGACAGATAAACTATTTAGAACATGGCGGACTGTCACAGAAATTTGGATTGCGAAAAAGCCCTTCGTTTCGCTTCTTGTTTAGTGATGTATTCTGTGACTTTACTATAAAAACAAATTATTTGCTAGAAAATTTTACTTTCTCGGATTTATTATTAAAGTTCGGAATTCCCTATTGGAAGATCGTTTAGATGATGGATATTTTTAACTAACTTAAGATTTGTTGAGCAAAATGTTGCTTTTTTGTATTATTGTTTATATAATATATTCTTTTGATTTTGTTACCTTTTCCATTTTGTTGCTCCCACAATAATTTGACAAGCAGAAATACTATATAAAAAAATACTTTTCTACAACTACCTTATTTTATTTATATATCAATATAAAGTGGATACATACAAATTTTACAAAATAATACAATTATTATTCTAATATAAACAAAACCAACTTGTCCGTCTTGAAATACGAACGAATTTGTCATTACGAAACTTAGAACTGTATGGTTCCATAGAGCATTTTGTAAAAGGCAACTGTCATTATTTATCTAGAACATAAAAGTTTTTGTTAAAATACATATTTAATAAAACCATTTGGGAAAAATTCTACAATATTGTTATATAATTGACGTAGACCCACACCTTTATAAATATAGTATATTATACTTTATAAATCAGTATTTCAATAATTAATTGTGGCAGATAATCAGTTGATGTCATTTGTTTTTGGTGAAAAAAAATCTGTGAGATAATAAAGACTAAATTTTATTCATGGGTTTAAAAGAATTCGTCCAATGTGAGCGTTAAGTAATCCCTTTGTAAGACACTTTTCAAATTAATGATCCGAAATCGTAGACATGCATCCGCCTGTGAATTCTTAAAAAGACACGTTTCGGGGTTTCGGCACGCCGATCACAAGCTTAACGAGTTACATGTTAAAATCAACGGAATATTAGTTGATGAGCAACCAAACATACATTTCTTTCCATATGAATTCTTTAAACGGCCATAAAATTTGGGAAAGTAGAGAACAAATAATCCAGTGTTCTTTATTTAGATTTGGTTTAAGTCTAAATCTGTATTAACTAATACCAATCTGGAACGGATTGCCTCTTCTAACTCGGTCATTCTTTTTAACATGTAATAGGTGAAGTTCTACCTAGTTTCCACGTCTTGGATTGGCCGTTTGGGAATTTTATTATGTTGTAATTAATACTTTAAAAGCCTTTCTGAAGGTACTTTTTTTGAAATGTGTTTTTTGCCGAATTGTCGAAAAAAGGACTTTTTATTTTATCTATTTGTAAATCAAAACATCTTTAATAGCTTTGACCATATTTGAGGCATTATCAGTTACTGCAAAATTTACTTTTCGTTTTAGACCCCACTGATTAATAACTTCACTAATTTCAGAAGCGATGTTTTCTGAATTATGATAACTCTCCGTTATTCCAGATGTCCAAAGGTTGATATCTCTGTGTATCATTGATCATATCATTGAATATATCTCTGTGGTTACACGGAAGGACTAGACAAATCGTAGGCAAATGGAGATTATTACTTTTAACCAAAAACTATTGTTTTTGGTAAAAAAATTGCCAGAAATCGAAAAAGTAAATATTATTTTAGGAAGAAAAACATTTAGTCTACATTTTTAAAGCAGAATATGGCTTACCCATTAATCTGAGAAATCTTGGGAAAAGCGATCTCTACTTTCACTCTCTTTCGTTCGAATAGAGGCTCCATATTGAGTTTTTTTAGACAACTGACGTCATCCTGGTTTATATATATTTGTACTCCAGTCTTTTTATTCTTCCTGGATTTTATAACCCAATGTCCAGTTTCTAGTCCTGGATTTTCTTTTGCTAACGTTTTAGTAAGATATTCCTTGTCGTTTATATAATGTTTAGGGACCCACAATATGGCTTGAATTTCACCGCCGCCGCCGCCGACTGTTTCCTTGAGATCTGCAATTCTTAGGTCCCTACCATCCCTTCGCTTTAACTGCGGAATTAGACTATCTAGCCACTCTTTCGAATACCTATTTCTACATACGACAATGGCTGCTCCTTTGCGGTCCATAAGACGTTGAATTGCTAGCCCTGTGATACCCTTCTCTTCCATAAATCCAATGTGTGTATTTAGTAACGCTTTAAGAACTATAACATCAAATTTCCTAAGCCGTTCTTTTGGATATCCTACAGGAACAACCACTGTCTTCATTTCGATGTCATCGACTGCCATCAAAAAATTAGATCGGTAGTTATTTTGTAGTGAAGTTTTTTCTTCATCACTACTCTCCTCCGGAGAACTTCTGCTTCTGGAGTCATCATCAGATTCATCGTGTAATTGATCTTTCTTACCGCTGAAAGAACCTGCTTCATCAATTTTAGATTTCAATTGATGTCTTTGATTGCCGAAGGGGACTTCTTTCGCGAATTTCACGATGCAATGGGCTTCTTTCACGATGTAATGGGCTTCTTTTACGATACAATGGACTTTTTTTACGATGCAATGGACTTTCTACGATTTAAAGGGCTTCTTTCACCATGCAATGGGCTTCTCTCACGATACAATGGACTTCTTTCACGAGGTAATGGGCTTCTTTCACGATGCAATGGGCTTTTTTTTATGATGCAATGGGCTTCTTTCACGATGCAATGGGCTTCTTTCACGATGCAATGGACTTCTTTTATGATACAATGGACTTCTTTCACGATTTAAAGGGCTTCTTTCACGATGCAATGGGCTTCTCTCACGATACAATGGACTTCTCTCACGAGGTAATGGGCCTCTTTCACGAAGCAATGGACTTCTCTCACGATGCAATCGGCTTCTTTCACGATGCAATGGGCTTCTTTCACGATGCATTGGACTTCTGTCACGGGAGAAAGGGCTTCTTCCCCGAGTTTCTCGGTTTTTGTTATCTGTGCCAGAATTAAAAGAGCTGTAATTTCTGGCTAAAGCTTCAAGACCACTTTCACTTTTTCCTTTTTCCCAGCTTGTAGGCCGAGCCCTTTCTTGAGAGTAACCTGCTCTGTTAAAAGACATTTTTGTTTTATTCTGTGGGTTACTGTACTTTCACAATTAGATGTTGCTCATCACTTTTATTGAGACGCCGTACAGCAGAACTGAATTTTACTGTCCAAAAATTCTGAAAGCAATAACTTCTATTAAACAAGATCCTATTTACTATTATACTCGTGTATCAAATTATTAGAGTTTACAAAAAAAATACTGAAAAATGTTTTATTGGAAACATTTAAAATAGTGTTACTAACCATTACAATACTTATATCAACATGTGAATTCATAATTTAACTTTAAAGTTTTGGTAAAAACTTCTATTATAAATACTGAAAATTTTCCCAACAATTAAGTTTAAATAATTTTCTTTTCGGAGAATTAATATATCTGATCGAGTATAAGTGGAACAAATATAGACGTACAAATCGCATAGAGGATTTACTAAATTATCGAGACTTTGCCAAAGATTTAAAGAAATCTCTACATGAAGCTCGTGTTGCCTACGAAGAAAGTATAGCCATTAGTCATAACTGTAAAAAATTGTATAAGTTTATTAGATCTTCGATGACAACAAAAGTTTCTGTACCTTTACTGGAAAATGATAATGGGGATATATCCCAAAATAACTATGGGAATGCTGAAGTCCTCGCCAGTACTTTCTCTAATGTTTTCTCTGTCGAACCCACTAATCATCAGTTCCTAATAATACTTCGTCACGAGTTTCTTCTTCCCTTGAAAATATAATCATTACTCCTGAAAAAGTTAAACATCATCTTCAAAGCCTAAAAAATAATTCGTCTCCTGGTCTCGACCCAATATCTTCTTTATTTTTAAAGAAATTTTCTGATGCTTTAGCTTACCCACTATATGTGATTATGTCCTTATTATTCACCACACATATTTTGCCTCCTAAATGGAAAACCGCATCTGTAACACCGATTTTTAAAAAAGTGAACAAATTGGATCCTATTAACTATCGTTCTATCACCTTAACACCTATAATATCTAAGATAATAGAATCTATTATTGCCGAGACAATTTCTGATTTTCTGCAAAATGAACTGGTCATACCAGAACAGCAGCATGGTTTTGTCAAAGGACGTTCTACAATGACAAATCTTCTCTGGCGTGTCAATAAATGGTCAAGAGCATTAGACAGAAAAGCCCCGGTAGACATTATTTACCTCGATTTTGCTAAAGCTTTTGATCGAGTTCCAAAACGAAAACTATTACATAAATTGGAACACCTTGGTATCCGTGGTCAATTACTCAAATGGATCGACGCGTATTTAACAGATAGAAAGTTTTGTGTTAGAGTTCGGGACTCTTTTTCAGTTGAGAGAACGGTTTTAAGAGGGGTACCGCAAGGATCAGTTTTGGGACCACTTTTATTCATAGCATACTCAATTGATCTACAATTTCACATTAAATGCAACAAAGCTTTCTATGCAGATGACACGAAGCTATTTTCCGAAACGTTTGCGAAAGTGTCATTTATGAGCTCAGTTCATCTTTATAAACTGTACTTCGTCCTGTTCTGGAATATTGCGGAACTGTTTGGTGTCCCGGTATTAGTGCACGATCGTAATATTCTCGAAAACGTACAGCGGCAGTGCACTAGGATGTCTTTTGGTCGCTCAAGACCTACATATCGTCGGCTTAATCTGCTAAACCTGTAAGTCCAAAACGGACATTTTTTCAGGAGAGACAAAAAACTTTCTGTAAATTTTTGTTTTGGCAAATAGAAAAAACCAAGATATACGTTTGTCTACATATAACAAATTGGACATTTTAAGGAATTTCTAAGAAGTTATTTGATCTTATGACATATTTAATTGGACTTACAGGTTTTTCCTATTTTTATTTAAATATTTTTGGGACTTACGGGATTTGATTACTCTAAGAGGTGGGTAAAAATGAATAATTAAAATTGAGTAAACTTATTTATTCCTTATATAAACGAACAAAACCTTAACCTAAAGATAATACAAAAATTTAAATATATGCCATATAGCATATCTAAAGATATGCCAGGTTGTCATAAAACGAGTGATAATCAGCTGGAATATTTATCTTAAGGGATTGCAAATGTACAAACTTTTCTCTTTTAATCGGTATGGAATTATCATATAAGCTTGGAATTTCACTAAATTTAAAGCATAACTCTTTTCTATTAGACTTTGGAACTCGACTAAAAGCAAGGTCTTGGTAATCTTGAGTATGTCTCAGCTTGTAAGCTATTGTTCCATCTGATGAACACTGCAAGGCGCGAATGTCTGTAACATGAGGATCACCGACTCTTTTACCTGGACGCAAAGATTTTACAAACTGTAGTTTACTAAAGTCCTTAAAAAATGTGTGGTCTAGATAATGAACTCTATAAGGTCTTGGATTTTTACGTGCTGTCTTACAAATTTCAACGTAGTCAGCAGGTACGTTAATATTATTAAGACGAAGTTTTCTTTCAATAGTAGAATGCATGGAATCTGCCTCCATCTGCGTGTGCCCTTTTTCGAGAAACTTTTGCTCAATTGTAATTTCTGATTCCATACTTAGGTTTAGAAGGGCGGTGGCTAGTGTTGAATTCCTGTTTTGGGACGTACAACCATCACTGTAAATAATAATTTTTTGATCAGGGTGATCTTTCGTGATATGATCTTTGAGAAAACTTTAAATTATTGAGGCATAGTCATTGGCGCTGGTACCGCCAGCGGCCTCATGCCATAGGTAGCAATGGCCATCTTTAGTTTTCATATCGAAAAATGTTAGATTATGTACTATCAGTTTAGTCTTAAAATATTGTGAGGAGATGTTTGTCTTTGGTGACAGTAAAACTGATTGTAAATCCATACATAATACGATATTTTCTGACTCCTTATCTCGATTTTTTGCCTCCCTGGCTTCCCTTTTTTCTTCTTGGTGTTCATTAAAGATATCATCAGGTAAGTTGCCATTTCGGTGTGCCACACATTTATAACACTCGTCTTTCTTGGGACGGTACAGCGAGAGGTTCATTTCTTCAAATACGTGGGAAAATGAAGCAATTGATAATGAACCCATTTGTTTTTCTTGACACCAGCTCGTATAGAATTAAAATCTCCAAATAAAGTTTGTTAGATAATGACCGGCAGTAGTGTGACTCAACTTTTGACAGCTCAGAAAAAAACTGCCTTAAATTTTTATTCATGTCCTTGTAACGCGCTGTATGCATTGTAATTTCATTGGAATTATTGTCGTCAGTTTTTGTTTGACTAGTCGCTTCTTTTCTCAACCAGTCAAGTACCATGTCCTCCTTCAGACAATGTGTGTTTAAAAACATCTGCTTACAAACTCTAATAAGTTGACCTTCCTTCTTCATGTAGTAAAGCATAGACTCCTTTCTTCTTGATGTTGTTGCATTTTGCCTGTTTCTGTCTTTTTATAGCCGTTGATTTTACTAAGAAGGATACATACATTTTTCTCTCGCTCCAGTTCATATTGGACCAAAATTTCATCAGTATCACTCTTTAAATCCCTAATTATATATAGTAGGAAAACCCCGTAACTCCAACTTAATTTAGTAGTGCACTAAATTCAAATTATACGCAAATCCCGTAACTCCATGCATTATTTTAAAGAGTTTATTTTAAGTCTAAAACTACATTAAATTATATTTAAAAGTTTAAACACAAATTAAGGACACTTACCTTATGTTATTTGCTCAAAATAAGTTTAAAAGATCGCCAAAAACACACAAAAAACAATATTTTACAAGACCAACACAGCTCGTGCTTGCAACGTAACGGACAATGGCGGACTTACGGTGTTTGCGCTGTGATTTCAGTCCAGTATGGACTTACGGATTTCGCAGATTTGATCGCAGATCATTTAAAGAATTTTTGGAGTTACTGAAATTTCTTAGACAAATTCACTAATTTTTTTGCGAACGATGGCGTTAAAATGTCAAATTTGATCAAATGTGGACTTACGGGTTTTGCAGGTTAAGCCGACGATATACAGAACGACTAAATATGGCCAATATCACTACATTTGAACAATGTTGACTTCAAGGCGATTTAATTATTACATTTCGGATAGTAAAAATACAACTTTGGAAATGTGGGGGATATGGAGGATATGTATATTTATTTAGATGGTGCTTAATATGTAACTATTATAATGTAACCATTTAATTGCACACTATATAATTATATTTATTATATATATATTTAATATATATAATATATATTTAATTTATATATTTATATATATTTAATTTATTGTAAAATAAAATAAATAAATGAACTGATGGCTGGATGTACAGGCAAATCAGTTCTAAATGTCACAACTGTTATATTGTACTTCATCTTATGTTAGCTTAATTTAATATGGCCAGTGCTAGAGACCTCAAACATATGTAATCTTTTCAATGTTGTTTCCAGTCAAATGTGTTTCTTGTATTGCTATGATGTATATTTGATATTTTTTAAGTTTTTCTATTAGGTTGATTAATGCTCCCTTCTCATATACTCCTTATACATTCCATGTCACAATATTTAGGTACATATTCTTATTTTTTATTTTGCTATTTATGTTCAAACTCATTTTCCTGTTCATCACTAGGATCCATATTTCTAGAATTTTTTTTGGTCAAGTTTCAAGTTTTTGGGTCCATATTTCTAGAATTTTTTCGTTTGAAAGTACCATTTCAGACCCAATCCCATTTTATTCCATCCACAGTTAGCTTTTGTACCATATCTTCACATTTTTACCCTCAGCTCTTAATTCCTTGCTTTTATTTACAATTTCCTACATCATGTGTCTTCCTTTTCCGTTAGGTCATCGTTTATGAAGATCTTTTCTCCAGTAAGAAATCTGAGTTTGCTTTTTTCTTTCATTACCTTAATTTTTCGCCATAATCGTTCACTTGTACCAGACATATATTGATTTTTAGCCTTATTGGAGATTCTATTTCTCAATGCAGTATTGCAAAGCCTTTTAAATTCATATATGTAAATAAACTGTAAATTATTTTTCGCGATAATTACTAATCGCGATATTTGGGATTTTAGCAGGAGAAAAATAGATTTACTTTTATCTGCTTAGTACACCATTGCCAGAGTGGACTACTACCTGTCAAAAACATTTAACATAAAAATTCCTATTTCTCACTACTAATAGCTTAAACTAAATGGGGGTGTTTATTGATTGATTTTTATTAAAAACTTCACATTTGTACATACCATTCAATAAACGACTATAAGCTTTCAAAAATAAACTTTTGTATTAATTTATGCAGTTTTATTTTGTTAATAAATTGCATGTGAATAATTTTTTGTTTTCGTATTGACTATGAGCATGTACAATTGGTTGTATAGTAATTTCCAGCCACTGACAGTTGGTTAAACTTTATCCATTATAGCAAAAATAATTTCTAACTTTCCTAGACAGTTAGAACTGGAATCTAGCCATATGATATTTAACAATTTGTAACATGCCTGACTGATCAATTCTTATCTCTATGTTAATGTCTTGGTAACATGACTAGTATCTACAACTTTCGATTTGTTTATGTTAATAGTTTACCTTATTGTTGCAGCCTAACATTTTCTGTAATTATACCTACAAAACTCATCAGTCGTCTGACGTTAGATTGTATGGTATTCCATTTTTCACATTCAAAAAATTAAGAAAATTTGAAGAAAACAAATGACAAAAACAGTTTAACCTAGGAAAAAAAACCTATTCTATAAGAAAAAATTCTCTGAAAACACTTACCTTACCTTATTTCTAATCTTTATATTCAACTAAAACAAACTAGGATACCACTACAGAAGCTATTGTTCAGGAAAAATTAAATTCTAGTTATTAGATGTTTTGCTTGCTGTGTATTTAATCGAATCTATTTATATTTATTTATTGATTTAATCCAACTTATCTGTCAAACCACAGACCACTTATAATGTCAAACGTCGCTTTATTTAAACAAATAAATATATATTATATATTCATAATCTATGATTATAGATTATGAATTACATACACTTCATCTAATTTATATAACGATGCACGTCATCGGCGTCATAGCCTGTGACGTCATATGATACCAACACGAAATATTTAGAGTTTAGGTGTGTTCTTTTTAGAATCACTTTACCAAGTACACTGGCATTACAGCCACTAGACATATTTTATTATATACGCGTAGAAATAATATTTAAAAATTTCTATTAATGTTAACTTAAATAAATACACAATAATATGTGTCATTTAATTTGTGTAAATCCATTATAAAGAGTTCTTATCAAGAACATTTATTCGGAACACACTGTAACTGTAATCGAACGAAGGTAAAATTTTGGCATAAATTGGTAACACTTATTTGACATTTGCGGCGTTGACACTTTTTGTACTTTAGTATTTTGAATTTTAAAGTGAATACCTCCTGTTTTCTATTTTTACCTATTTAATAAAATCTGTTCCTTTTAGAACAAAATTAGTGTGTTTTATTTCAAAAATGTCACGTAAGAATTTAAATAGTCGTTGTAAAGAGATGGTAATACTTTTGCAATAATTATGTGACCTATTTGATTTAAAATGGAGTCAGGATTTTTTTATACTTTGGCAACTATGTCAACTTCGATCTCTGACGTATATAGTGACGTAAGTCGTTATCTAAATTAGATGAAGTATATCTCTGATTATGAACAGAGATTGATTATGAATTATGCATTCACAATCGAAGTACATAGCCCTCTAGTAATGTAATCACAATGTAATTATCAAAGATAGATTTCGGAGAGAGTTTCTAGCGCCAAATGCGGACGGGCCGAAACTAATTTTATTTGACGGCAAATTTAAAACGTAGGTTCTCAATTTTAGGCGGCAAATTCGGAAAAATATGCTCTGAATTTTAGGCGGCAAAATTAAAAAAATATGCTTTTAACGGAAAAAAATTGTTATAAAATAAAAAATAAAAACTTAATCTATGCCAAAAAATATATTCTCTCTGTTAAAAAATATAGTATACATTTACGCATTTTTATATATATATATAAATGTATACCATAATATCAGACAGAGTATATATATTATGGTAAGGAATGTTTTTATTTATATTTTATATCTATATCTGTTTGCTGTTACATTAACAAACCAAAGTTCTGAAAGCAACAAAATAAACATAATCTACACTTGTTTATTTGTATAATTTTCTTTGATAAACTATTGACAACAAAATATCCTCCTCCTCCTCAGGGTTTGGTGGGAACACTCTAAATATTGTTAGCTTGCCGTCTTCATTGGTTGTGATCATGTACCAGATCGACAACTTCATGTAGGGGATTTTTCTATTAATCTTCATTTGATCTTTACATCTTGTTGAGATCTTCCTATTGATATACAAATATTCATGCCTCTATATTCATTAGTACTGATTTGTTATAAGTTCCATACGTTCTAAAGTACTCTTCCTTAAAGGACCATCTGTATATCATAAAGTGTAAACTATAGCATTTCTGCGATTTTGCTATTCAGGATCATTACAAATTAGTATGTTGCTCAGAAGTAGGTCCATCAAAATCTATAATAATGAAAATTTATTAAAATTAAAAATGTATGACTTTTTTTAAATAGGGCAGCTTTTAGGAATGCAATTCGAGGTAAGAATTTTAATGGATTTTAAAATATGTAAAGTATTTAAATGTAAGATTCATATTGGTTAAGATTTAAAAGTAATTTAATACAAAAGCGAAATGTACTTACAAAATAGTATCGAGTTTGTATTTACTAACAAAAGTTTGGTATAATTAGGTGCTGATCTTACCTGGTGATTGTAAAAATAAACTAATCCTCATAATGTTTAATAGCTCCTTGTCCAACTTTGACTAACTTTCACCCATCCACAAAAATATTCTTTTGATTTTTTTGATTTGGAATACTATACAATTTTGGTATTGCACCTTTTTAGCAATGTTTATTGGATATATAAAAATTGATGTATACTGTTTTTATTTCCTATTTTAAATATTATTTGGGATACAATGTTTTTATAACGTCATTTCCCAGAGTATATACGAGTTACGAGTATATACACTTTCTTATATTATTTATCTATGATATACACTTTGCCTTTCCCATATTTGCAATTTGCAACAAAACAAAGGCCTTGGCTTATAATGTTGCCACAAACACATTTTTTTTCGGTGGATACTCAATTCTTTAAAAATAAGTTATTGTAAACTAAAGTTGTGATTTTAGTAGAACTTACTACAATCTTTGTTTTTTGGAAACATTGTATAGGTTTAGGAATCATTATTTGGGTAAATATAAATAATGCAAAACTAGTGAAACCATGGCAACACCACTTTGATCAACGTTATGTCATACCTCAACCCATGGACGTATAAATAATCTTTATTTATACGTCCATGCCTCAACCTAACGTGACTAGTAACGCCGTCGGTTTACGAACGGCTGGGCCTATAAAATTTACTCTCCACACCTGTCATTCCATTTACCCTACTAATTCTGGTATATACTGTGTTCACAATTCACATCACTGTCACTGTCAACTATCACTGTTTGATCCACTCTTCTTCTGAATATTGTCGGCCTTGCAAGTCAAAGCTAGTAGAAATTATATTTGAATTTAAATAATCTCAATTAATTAATAATCATTAATGATCATTAAGAATTCAAAATCTTAATTTCGAAAGTTATAATGTTTTTTTGGTTGTCACAAAGAAGCTCAACAAAATTATAAAACAACAATAACATGAACTGACAATGACAATGACAGCTAAATAACACTTTATGATCTGTGATGTTGTTATTTTATTTAAAAGGCTGACCGTTTTTTAAGTCTAAAACTTAAAAATTTAAATATACTAAAATAAATTTTTTACCACAAAAGCATACAATATGTCTAAGCGATCTACTATTACCAATATGTCTAAGCGATCTACTATTACCAATATGTCTAAGAGATCTAGAGTTTCGGAAAACACTCAGAAAGGTTTGTGTATAGTATAACTTATATTAGTTTGCCTACATATTTGGAAAATTAATGATTATTTTTCTTACATTAATAAGTATTTTCTGTCTCAATTTTAGAATTAAAAGAACAGCAATGTGCTAGGTGGGAAGGATTTTTCTCAGATTTAATTAAAAGGGCACAAAAGAATCCTTCAGATTGTCAAGTAACAGATTATATTTTTCAATCTGCTATTCATGACCTAAGTGATACACTTAATAAAAGAATGTCCCCTTTGGAAGTAGAACTAAAAACATTGGTGGAAGATACTTTAAAGAGTAAACTGAAACATTATGTGTTGCAAAGGAGTAAGTCCAGGATTCTGGAGGATGGAAAATTTGAATACTGGCACAAAAAAGCAAAAAAATCAATAATGGCTTTGACGCCTTACTTAACTAAAAGTGAAATAAAGTACTACATATGTCTTTTTTCTCAGAATTACAATAAGCAAAGAATTGTTAGATTTATAGAATTGTACATGAAGAGCAAATTGCAGAATTTGTTGAAGAGCAGGGAGTCTTTAAGAAATGACCCTAAAAAGTTGACTGATATTCAAAAGAAAATAATTACTGAGTGGGATGTTCTGACTACTTATGTATCTTTGGAACATGTTGTTTTTTATGCAATGGATGTTGTTTCACAACTGAAAAATATTGATTAATTTGAAGGATGATAGGTAATGTATATCTTTATTACAATGCAACAACACAAGTAGCAAATCTTGAAGTAACAAAATAATATGCATTGTGTAATTGACAATGAAGATGACTGACTTTTATAGAACTATATCATTGTAGTTTCTGTATGTATATATGCCACTTTTCTGACCATAAACAGATCCTTCTGTTATGATATCTATACTTATTATTACCTATTGAACTTTATAGTTTCTGTAAATGTAAGTTCACATGTTAAAAATGCAGGTAAAATAGGTTTTGATAAATTAGTTTTAGGTAAGTTTAATCCTGGAATAAAGATTATACTTTTGAAAAGCATGTTTTTTAATTCATTTTTACCAGTATAATTTTATTAAAAATAGGTATAACAGTGAAACAACTATCAATATAAAACATAAAAACACAAATATCAGTAATAATTGACAACTATTAATGCCTCTTAGAAAAATATCTCCATCCTAACTTTTTTAAGTCATCTCCAAAAATCATAAAGTGATTTTTTAGGAAATAGGATTAAAGTTAATATATAATAAGGTAGAGGCACCAGTACCTGACATTCTAAGGCCACAAAGATACATTTTCTGATATTAAAACGTTAATTTTACTTAGATTTTTTTGTTAAGTTTGTTAAGTTAGTTAAATAAAACTTGCAAAGAAATTACTTTTAAATACATGTTTTGTCCCCAATACCTGACATTGCAAATTTTGCAGAATCCTAAAAAATACTTAATACCTGACATATCAAAAAAGGTATTTAAATAAAAAAAAATGAACTTATTCAAATATCTAATTAAAACAGGAAAACTTTATTATTTCTGGTACTCAGTACATTCCACAATTATACTTGCTGGTTCGTTGATCTTCTCCACATTATTAGTATGATCATACCATATTGCATCCTCTTTATTTGGCAATCTCTTCAAATTAAAGTTGCTGCTTACCATAACACTAACAAACACCTTATTTTCTTCTACTTCTTTTATTTTTCCTGGGTAGTGTTGATCTTCATTAATAACAATAACATACAATACATACATTTATTTATTTATTTATATATATACGGCATCCATTTACTTACAATTTTTACAAAGTTACATCTTAAAAACAATATATTATTAAAATAACAATCACAAGTTTTAAAAAGTTACACCTTAACAACAATAAATTATTAAAATAACAAACACCTCAGAATAATACAAACATATAAGAATAATACAGATGTATAACCAACTTATTGTAAGATATTTTTTAGT